TGTCTGTCGTTATGGTGACCAAAGATCTATTTTGTGTTCCGTAGTTTTACATCTGTCTGTCGATATGGTGACCAAAGATCTATTTTGTGTTCCGTAGTTTTACATCTGTCTGTCGTTATAGTGACCAGCAATCTATTTTTTGTTCCGTAGTTTTACATCTGTCTGTCGTTATGGTTACCAAAGACCTATTTTGTGTTCCTTAGTTTTACATCTGTCTGTCGTTATAGTGACCTAAGATCTATTTTTTGTTCCGTAGTTTTAGATCTGTCTGTCGTTATGGTGACCAAAGATCTATTTTGTGTTCCGTAGTTTTACATCTGTCTGTCGTTATAGTGACCTAAGATCTATTTTTTGTTCCGTAGTTTTACATCTGTCTGTCGTTATAGTGACCAGCAATCTATTTTGTGTTCCTTAGTTTTACATCTGTCTGCCGTTATAGTGACCTAAGACCTATTTTATGTTCCGTAGTTTTATATTTGTCTGTCGTAATGGTGACCAAAGTTCCGTAGTTTTACATCTTATGGTGACCAAAGCTCTATTTTGTGTTCCTTAGTTTTACATCTGTCTGACGTTATAGTGACCTAAGATCTATTTTTTGTTCCGTATTTTTACATCTGTCTGACGATATGGTGACCAAAGCTCTATTTTGTGTTCCTTAGTTTTACATCTGTCTGTTGACCTGCCCACCAAAGATCTATTTTGTATTCTGTAGTTTTACATCTGGCTGTCGTTATGGTGACCACATATCTATTTTGTATTCTGTAGTTTTACATCTGTCTGCCGTTATAGTGACCTAAGATCTATTTTTTGTTCCGTATTTTTACATCTGTCTGTGGAGATGGTGACCAAAGATCTACTTTGTGTTCCGTAGTTTTATATTTGTCTGTCGTAATGGTGACCAAAGAGCTATTTTGTGTTCCGTAGATTTACATCTGTCTGTCTTTATAGTGACCTAAGATCTATTTTGTGTCCCGTAGTTTTACATTTGATTGTCGTTATGGTGACCAACGATCTAGTTTGTATTCCGTAGTTATACATTTGTCTGACCTAAGACCTATTTTGTGTTCCGTAGTTTTACATTTGATTGTCGTTATGGTGACCAAAGATCTAGTTTGTATTCCGTAGTTATACATCTGTCCACAGATCTATTGTGTTCTCTTTGCTGTTGTATCTGTCTGTTGCTACTGTTGTATCTAGCTACTGGTGAGCATTATTTCTGTGCACCAATTGAGTTACGTAGTAAATATATTTTCTTATTGCATGTCAGTGCTGCTTGAGACAGACAAGAAGGAAATACCAAAATGTGAACAACGAACTCAGAATTGATTTACCAAGTGTACAATTTGTAAAAAGGAAAGCTTTATATGGACAAACTTGAAAAGGGTGTATGCGGTTCTTGCCCTTGTAAACTTTGGTCACCTCCTCAGAATGAGACCTGGGGAAGTGACAAGGAACCACAAGGCACACTTATGGTCATAATCATCGATATTCATATCGCACAGAGAAACATAGAATGCTTCCCAATGCGGTCATGATTGCAACCATAAATAAACATGTCCTTAACCTGCATCTCTTGATATTTGTGTTGACATCTACCATTATTTATTTGTAGCAAGCCATTCAATACCTTATCACATGTGACCTGTACATTTTATGAAAGCAAAGTTCGATTTGTATATGATGATAAATAAAAAAAAGTTAATTTTACCTGAAATCAGGACTTGTGTAGATATAACGTAACAATTAATAGTATGTTTCATTTTTTCTCTATTCGATTCCAAAAGATACATTATACTCGAGATCCATATTAAACACATGAGCACAGAATGTATTTGAGGTTCCCACGCAATTTGAATTATTATTTGGAGACATTTACAAGAAAGTACTATTGAAATTGTCAATTCGTTATTTAAATGTTTTTGTTATTATAAAGTTGATAATCAATTGTCTGAGTACAGCATGATATATGTTCTTACCGTATTCGATTTCTTAATATTGTTTTTAAAATATTTTAGTTAAGCATGCAAGCATACTTGTATGCAGCGTCAACGATATTCCACATATGACAATCAATAATACAATGTTAATGTAATAATTAATTCATATGCAATCATTATATTTTCACAGAGTCGCTTGTTTGTACAAAGGTTCAATGTCACAGTCGTTTTCATCTTACTAACTATCAAAATAAATCGTGTCCAGTCCCAACTCGCTTTCGTCCTATCAAGTGTATCTACATTAAAAATGACACTATGATGCAACCAAGAATTTGTTATCGGGGACATGATTTCGGCCATAATGACAGTTTTATTCATGTTCGTGAGGGATGTTCAGCAACATTCAAAGCATGCACAGACACACGTAAGTATCCCTAATTGTGTTTTCCGGTACAATTTAAGGTTTTAAGATATGTTAAGTGTTTGCCTACTCAACAAATACGCTTTTAGGTTTTTTTCATATACGAGTTTCAATGTTAAAATAGTTTGAATTCATTAATTTAGAAGACGAAAGGGCATCTACTCTGGTCAGCTATTTAGTTTCTCTATTTTTTAATTGTTATTCGATAACATCCCAAGATAATTTAACTTATCTACTACTTTTGATTGAAAAAAACGGGGGGGGGTTGCTAGATCTTAATACATAATTATAAAAGACGAGGCAAAATAATTTCTGTGCAAAATTAATAATAAGATCACATTTCGTATTCTAATAGTTAGATTTGCATAGATAATTCATCATGATAATTCATCACTCAAGGAGTTAGGATTTTTAATTTCAAAATTTGATAGATGTGAATTGAATCAAGGTCTCATTTTCATTTTATAAAGAATCGGTTTATACGTTCCCCTTGCTGTAGCACAAAGCCCTTTATATCGCCAAAATATAGGTGGGTTTTTTTTTGTAACTTTTTATTTTATTTTCAATTTTATGTGCAATATACATCTTCATCAAATTAGCAGATATCATAATCATCATTCATCAAGCATCATCCATCATAAACAATAGCCTCATTACCAACACATCTCACAGACATGCATCATCCTCATCATCATACTCATCACCACTTCTTTTTTTTTTTATATATATATATAAAATAACATCTCATCATATTACATACAATGCATCAACATCATCATCATCATCATCATCATCATCATCATTCATCATCATCATCATCAACATCATCATCATCATTATCAAAGTAATATTACAGTAATATCATTCAATATTCTTCCTTTCATTTTCGATTCATCATAATGTCATTGTATCGTCATAATCAGAAAAAAAATACAAATCAACACTGGTCATTACCATAAATACTCGCATCATGTACATGTGATCATCATCCTCGCTGTTATTATCAAGAAAACAAGAACAAAAAAATATGCAAGGCATGATTTCATCACATCCTCATCAGCATCATTCATTAACGCATGTCATCCATACTCTATCTCATCATTCCTACACATTATATTTTGATCACCTTTCACATGTCACATGACTCTGACATCCTGACATCATACACATAAAGTTGAGGGAGCAGTAACAAAACAAATAAACAATAAATTGTCTATTGTATACCTGCAGTGATAAGTAAGGTCAGATTTACATGTCTATTGTATACCTGCAGTGATAAGTAAGGTCAGATTTACATGAATGTATATTGCACTTTATTGACTGGACAAACAAAAGAAAGTAGGAAGAATTAAAGACGTTTAAAGAAAGGAAAGAAAAAAATAGAGAAAAAAAAATATATAGAAACAAAGTGAAAGAAAAGGTTGGAAGGTAGACAAGACATACTATTTTCAGCTTTGTCAAGGGCTGGGAGAAGCCTACTTCAGTACTTGATATATAAACATCAATAACACTGGTACTAATAATAGTAATTTACAAGTAAAAAACAGCAAGAGTACACTATATTATAAATCAATTAACTTTTTCCATTTACGCCATTCTATATCAAATTTTTCCTTCGCAGAGTCGCCCTTACCAGTTGCAATATATTTTTGAACTCTATAATTGTCTTTAATTTTGTTAATTAATGAATTTATATGTAAAAGAATTGTGTCAACACCTCATTCTGTATATGTACTGCTTGATAATAAAGATAATTTCATTATCAACCCTGTTGACAGGAGGATGATTAAAAGATAGCAATCCAAAGAGAAAAGATTTTTTGTTTATTGAAAAAGGAATAAGTAATACTTGTAATAGCATTTTAAAACTTTGTAGTAAATTCTGTACTTCATTACATTCCCACAAAATATGAGTGATAGTTTATCTTTCAGAATTACATAAAATACAAAGAGGGGAGGTAACCAGGCCAATTTTACAAAGGAAAGAATTTGTTGTCAGGATGTGATGAACCACTGAAGCTTTGTATTTTTTGTAGCTTGGAAGGAATTTTGAAATTTTTTGCCCACTCTGTATCAATAATATCATCAAAGTTTTGGTTCCATTTAATTTTACCAGTTGGTTTTGCATTATTCCTAATCAAGTCATTATAAAACATTTTCGAACCTCTGGCACACTTGAAAAAAAAGGTTGTATGTTTACTGGTATAAAGGGGGCAACTATGTTTGATTTAGTTAGATCATAAGCTGAGATAAACCCCTTTATCGAAGATGTGAAGCTGTGGTACTGCAGAAAATTTGTCACAATCTGATATTTAAGTGAAAACTCGTTAAGGGAATAAAAAGAACCTGCAGAAGCATCTTTTAAAACATCATATATGTTAACCACGCCTTTCTTGTACCAATCCCTGTAAAAAAATGTTTTCCCCCAATACATATGTTTTTGTCATACCAAAGTGGTATTTTCAAGAGTAACTCATCCTTTCCTAAGTTGTCCTTTCGCAAAATGTATTTATACCATGATCTAAAAACATCTCTCCAAAATTGGTTTTTTCATTTATTCTTGCATAATTGTATATATTCACTACCACAACGCCAAATGTCTTTAACAAATGTGCGGAATAAGAGAGCGATATTGATGCATCACGACAACTGATGACATCTTCCCTATCAATGATGGATTGTCATAAATATATTTTGTCTAGTGGCTGCAACACTGTATGTCTTAATATCTATGAGTACTTTTTGTGATTAATCTGAACTTCAACATATATTTCGAAACGGTTTAAAATGATGGATTGTCATAAATATATTTTGTCTAGTGGCTGCAACACTGTATGTCTTAATATCTATGAGTACTTTTTGTGATTAATCTTAACTTCAACATATATTTCGAAACGGTTTAAAATGTATACATGATAAAAGTATTGAAAGAAATGATATGTACAATTAATGTTAAAAATGATACCAATACAAAAGAAAGAGAGAAAGGGGGAGGGGGGATTGAATACAACTGAGATAGGGTAGGTATATTTGGAACGTTTTGTTCTCAAAAAGAAAAGTTCAAAAAAGAAACCAATTACGAGATGTGATAATTCCGCTATAATGGCATTCTGTGATTATTTTCACAGTAAATCCATCTGTAGACGACAACGAGACTGATCCTCCCCCGCTGGTGCCTACTGTATCCACTCATCCATTCCCCCCCTTTCCTCCTCCTGTGGACGCACCAACAACTAGGATCACCCCGTTACAGACTCCTTTTCGACAACCTGACGACGGGAATGACGATCCAAATGCACTTACAATAGGACTAGCTGTCGGGAGTGGACTTGTCGTTATAGTGGTGGTCGTCATGGTGATGTTGTACTATCGTCGACAAAAGTAAGCTCCATGTCGAATTCATGTGTGTATTTATGTTGTTATACTTTCGTTCTACATAATTGGTTTATTTTCCTGTACCTCAATTTGTTGCGAGTTATAGCACCATAATTATTGTGTATTTTAATCTTAAGGAGGCTCCACCCTTTTGCAATTAGCCAGTAGAATTCGATGAAAGTTTAACATAATGAATATGCAACTATGTAGAACTGTTGTTATGAAAATCTAAGAATTCCAATTGACTGGGTTTTTTGGGGGAAAATATCCCAAAACATTTGTCTGGTGTGTGGCATTATTCGGAACAATAACAACAATAAAAAGAAAAGAAAATAAGCATTGTGACGTCATGATCAAATTAGGAGCTTGCTGGCCTATGATGTCCTTTTTGTTCCTTTAATGAAAAATACACCTCAAATTTGAATAGTAATGCAATATCAAAATTTCATTCAACAGTTGTAATCCTTTCAGTGGCAGTGCCTTTACTTTTCAGCACAGATGGCACGAAACGTATATGACTCACTTCTCTTTCAGAAGGGAATATGCAAAACACTTATAATATATAGACACAAAAAAAACATTCAACAGATGTATTCCTACATTAAGGAGCAGTGCCTGCAATATTAAGCACAATCATCCACAACATCTGGATTGCTTAGACCCAGTCCTCTTCCTCCTACACATCAATGATTTTCAAGGTTGCACAAAACACACTTTGGCTATTCGCATATGACAGCACATTTTCTTCAGACTTGGACCCATACTATACAAAGAACCTAAGCGAATTATAAAAGAGATACCAAGAAGAGAGCACTCTCTGTCAACAACAAATTCCATAACACAAGCTCAGTAACAGACAAATTACACCACGAACTTCAACGGCAACCGCAAACAGGCAGAACAAAAATATATACCCCATACCGTTCAACGAAATAAAACACCAACAATTAAAGTTGCAATAAATACAAAACATCCTCATACCCGGAGACCCCAGAAACGATACGGTCATAACCTACAGAGACTTATCTTTCTCTCCAAAGACTCTTACAGACACTCATATTTCATACACCATACCAAAATGTCTTTTCCTAAATACACAACACTTCAGGAATCCGAAACAAATAAATAAATCATATGGAAGACATACAGAAACAACAAAATAAGTCATCTCATTTAAAAACAATTTATCCTAAATAAAAATAAAAGTAGTTTTCTTAACCTATGTAATGCTGCATCTCTTCCAAATGTTCATAATCATCATTAATGATGTAAGACGTTAACCATATTAAGGGGGCTCCACCCTTTCGCAATTAAACAGCGGAATTCAATGAACGTTTCACATAATGGTCATGTCACTATGTAAATATGACTTTATAAAAATCTAAGCATTCCGATAAACTGGGGATGTATTTGTAAAACATACAATTTTAACACTTTCACATTTTTGGAGTATGTGGCATTGTTCAACACTACTGCAACAATAAAATAATAAAAACAAGCAGTGCTTCATCAACCCTACAAATATTTTGTTTATCATAAAATATCTAATAAAGGAATGACCAAGATTTTGTTTTGGTATATACGGTATATACCGAAAAATAGGTGCACAGGTTTGTTTCGGTATATAACGTATATACCAAAACAAAATCTTGGGCATTCTTTATCATTTAATTTTAAAAAGTAGACAAACACGTTGTAAATGCACAGTTAAAGATTTATTATTTTTTTACGTAAACTAAACAATTGCGCTAAAAAAAAAAGCTGCGTTGTAGTTTTGCATTCTGAAGTGTAAAAAGTAGTTCCGTCATCAGTTTTTCTTTTTAGGTATATACGATATATACCAAAACAATTATTATGGGGGAGATAGGCAAAATTAAATTATAACGCGTTACACAAAGTGTTTTTTATTGAAATTGAACGGATAAAGGTTATTATATACAAGCTATACAAGCTAAAAGCAAACAGGACACATAGTTTCATACAAACAGAATGAACAATTGAACCAAACATACACAAAGTCTTCATAATTCATTTATTTTACATTTTAAAATAATTTTGATCCTGATGTGGGAGTTGTCTGCCTTAAAAAAAGTCGGAACTTTTTACAGAGAGATAAAATTTATACAATGACAGTTATTGTATTTGCATGTATCAAAAACGAAGAAATTAATTAAATTATGATTAGAATTGTCAATTTATTGTTCTCTTATGGAACAAAAATTACTCTCAATCATGTACACTTTGGACATCATTCCATAGCCCGCTTACGCATGGTATATTTAAGGCTATCGCATGGTTTGCCGTTACCACGTGCACGCACATGCACTTGCAATTTATAGGGATCTTGATATTTTACAAAACACTATTTTCACTAATTTGTAATTGCATTTGTGAAACGATTTACCTGACAGAGCGTAACTCGCTCGACAACAAAAATCGTAGCGACCCCGAGCTTGTGAACTAGTGTTAGCACGTGATATGTACATGTGAGGTCGGTAAATAAAATACATCAGTCTGCATTCCATGCGCCTCCTTCATAAATGACCTTGTTGAAGACGTCTAGTCTTACATGTATGTCAGTTTGTCCCCCCGTGAGTTAGTTTATGTCTTTATATCATAAGCTCTATTTCTGAAGTACGTGTGTTTACACATTTCCCAGTTTTAGTCTCGATATCGGGTGTTGACATATCATCGTCACGCACGTGTACTATTTTGTATCCGCTGTTACTATAATTAACACTACGGTATTGGAATGCCCGATACGCAATACGGAAATAACGACACGAAAATACGACAAGAAAAACATGTGTATTACGAAGGGTGGGATGAATACGTCATGTGTATTCCAAAACGTTTGCACCAAAACAATTGTACAGTATCTCATGAAAAATATCCATTGGTGTCGCCGTACGTACTTCCTATAGTGTCCATCATGCTCATGTACATCAAAAGAATATGTCGGTCGCGTAACTGTAAAATTGAATAGCTTTGAAGTCGGGTGTCGCTCCTCTGTAACCTTCAAATGATAGGTATCAGCCTAGATACTGCTCAGGTTGTTTTACCTTAGACAAATCAAAAAGATATTAGCGTGTCTTCAATTTTGCTATGACATATTCCAAGGAAACAGAGAGCGAACGTGAGCTTAACCCCTGGAATGGTACATGAAGTCACAGACTAATGATTAAAAAGTTAGTCGTATTAAACGGGTACCACCATGTCCAAGCTTGCACGCCTGTAAAGTGCTTTAGTGATCGTCAATTATGTTAATGCATTTTAACTATTCTTATTATCATATTCAAAACTATTAACATATAATTATAAATATTACATGAAGACAATTCTATCTTGACATTTCTGTTGATAATCTTTGTTGTGTATTAATAACTGACGTTTTTTGCATGTTTTATTGACAATGTCGTTTTAGGCACAGCAATGATAAAGGAAACAAGAACGATGACAACAAAAAGGTAAGAACACTATAGAGTCATTGTACTTTTCAGAAAAAAAAGAAAGAAAAAACGTTTAACACGACAGCAAGGGTCACGTATGTTCGAAACCCAATGATTTCATTTTCGACTCGCATATCTTTTCTACAATCTTCAAATATTTCGTGACAAAATTGAAGGCCATTTACGCGACACCTTGCGGATGCTACAGGTAGACTTTTATTAAAACTAAGGGAATCGCGCAGCAGCGATAAGTTAGGCTCGCTGCCTTTGGGGGTAGCTCCTCTGTAATATTCAAACGACAGTTATTAAGTTAGCAATTGGTCAGTATGTTGATACCTGAAATCAATCAAAAAGCTTACCGCGTATCTTTGATTCTTTGATCTTTTTAATGATAATATTCCAAGGGTGTATCTATATAACGGATTGGATTATTTATATTCATTATGAATAGTAAGTCGCCTTGTTAATGTTACGCGTGTGTGGGTTGGAAATCATGACAAACGAGAGATCGCCGTTAATAAGAGATGATATCCTATACAGCGTCGTTAACGTACATGGAATTGGAAATATCCAGCTTAGTGTATTTAAAACATCTTCCTTTTACACAGGTGACAAATGTCATATCCGGTGACCATGTCTACACTGATATAACTTCTGGGGGTGACGTTAGTAACCGAACGGTAAGGAGGGCGGAGTTACCAGGAGATTATGTTACTATTGAGGACGATGTGGACAGATACGACCATTGTAGACACCCAACACCGGACACAGACAAACAAACAGGGACAACTGACACATACGACTCACTTGGTTCTGGGACGAGGAACGTCAGTGTTATAGTTGATGAACCTTACGACACAACACGAGATATTACGTATGACCGGTTACATGATAAACAAAACAAATCGTCTATCCCAGGGAATTATGACGTACTTCCCGTTTAGACGAATTAAAGTGCTGGTATAACTCTTTCAACAAATGCCTTAGTTGATTTACATTTTATCAGTGGTTAATGAGAAGTCAAAGTATATATGAAACAAAACCAAGGGGATCCAATATCATTTTACTGCCATGATTTATTGAGACAGATTGATATGTTTTGAGGAATGATATTTCTTTGAAAACTTATGGTTCTTAGAGGCAATAATTGAACATGTTAATAACCACTGGTGTGTGTTAACCAACCTTTGAATAGTGTGATGAAATGAAAAGTTAAGCAGCATTCAACTCTCATGTTCATGATATAAGGATAGCAAATGGAAATATCGAGTATGGTGCTATATTTCACTTTTCTACCATGTCCTGTTGCTTTGCTTGTGATATACAGTAGTAGTTCATACTTGTCAATACTATATACTTGAGTTTTCCATTTATCGCGTGGAGTAGGAAAACTGATTTAGGATTAAAATAATTCAACAATTTAATCTTTAATGTTATAATATTATTGGAACATTTTTTTCTATAACTAGTTTTAACTTTTGTAGCTATATCTTAATACAACAAACTTAGAACTGCTATTTGACATAAATCTAACTTATATTTTATACTAGTCCGAATTATTCTGACGTTTTATCGACATTTTTCATATTGATAAAACGTCAGAATAGTTCGGACTAATTTTATACCAACAGGACTATTATGGGGTAAGGAGTCGATCCTTTTGACCAGATTTTATTTTAAGGTTGTTTATTTGTTTAGTTCTGATTTATTTAAATTGTAAATAATTTTGAATTTTAATGTGATTTATTTTGACAAACCTATTTGTATCTAGTATCATAAAAGTGCTGACGCTGTTTGCCTAATAAAGAATAAAAAGCCTAAATAAAAAAGTACAAACAACTTCTGATTTTTTGTCTATATTTCTTAGTAACATTTAGCATTATAATGTACTAAATCAACAAATATTTAATGGTACTATGATCGTACCTAAATATAGGAACGTTCCGATTGACGTTTAGGTAAAGGGTACCGTCACAAATATAACTGTCACTATCACTATCATGTTATATTTGTACAAGTCATTCTCTACACGAGTATCCATATAAATCTTGCGATGCATTTTACAAAATTAAAGTGTTCGAAATTTAGTCTATGAAAATATGAATAAACAAAAAATAATAACAAAAACTTAAGTTGTCGTCCTCTGGACCTTTCTGATGACATCCCTACACAGAAACCATAAATGCATACATAAAATTAAATACGCATACATTGTCAAGGGAAGTAACTCTAGCCTGAAAATCAGTGTTGTTGCTTCATCTGATATTCAAAAGGGATACACCAAATAAGGACCTCTGAAGTGGAATACTTCTTTAACTGGTGCAGTGGTTCTCTGTTCCTTTATTCCATTCGTTATTTCCGGTATCTCACTATTTTTTCACTATTTTGCACCCAGAACCAGATAAAAAGCAAAACAAACCTTACCAATCACTGAAGACTTCGTTGTAGGTACATTTTGTATATGTTTGATTATCGATGTCCTCCTCAATCTTTGCGGACAAATGAGGTCATCGTGTTTGTTGTTGAGCGCAATGTTTTACTAGTTATTCGCGAAACTGCGTTCTAACAATAAAAATTCCAAATATGAATCGATCAAAATGCATAGTTTCCTAATTGAGCAATTATACATGAAAACGTGTGTGTATACCACGCTGAAGTACCCCGTACTAGGATCAGGAAAATGCACAAAATGGCGTTTTTTCTTGAAGACACTGTTCTATGGATGGGAAAATCGAACAAAATTCATTAATCAAGAGATTATCAACCACAAACTTTTTTTGAGCTGTTGTATTCACGTATGGGGATAATATCTATATATTTAAATATGTTGTTGAATAGTTTGTAATGGAATCAAGTCTCCCCTATGTCGATCGTGTTCACTCGACTCTCCTCTTCTTCGTTACATAATAGTATTCCCGGCACATGTATATGAATACCACACTCAGCATAAATTTCTTCCTTCACTGATTAAATCCATATTAACACAATCAAACGGTTACTCTTTACTGATTAAATCCATATTCACCCAGTCAAACGGTTACTCTTCACTGGTAAATTAATATTCACCCAGTCAAACGGTTACTCTTCATGGTAAAATCCATATTCACCCAGTCAAACGGTTACTCTTCACTGGTAAATCAATATTCACCCAGTCAAACGTTTACTCTTCACTGGTAAATTAATATTCACCCAGTCAAACGGTTACTCTTCACTGGTAAATCAATATTCACCCAGTCAAACGGTTACTCTTCACTGGTAAATCCATAATCGCCCTCCACATGTAATATGCAATGCCATGCTAAATTCGCTATTATTACGAAGGTCAGTTAAAATGCTTCAAAAATGTATCGGTATGCAGTACATGTATACGGAAAGGATCCGGGTTAGTACTGAACGTCAAATCGTCTTCCGACACAAGCTTTAGATATTCCACCATTGATTTGGTTATCCATGTGCACTGTTCTTGACAATGCACTGCGTAGGTAAGTGATTGTCAGAATCTGAGGTAAGGGTCGTGCTTCCAGATATAATGATTCAACATGCTGTTTTGTTTATGGTAATGTGTGTTGCATTACTTCTGTTTAGTCTTCTCCTTTGGTGACAGCTTTGAAGTGCGGTAAGTCAATTATCTCTACACCAGTCCGGTATGTGCTGCTGACTTCTGGGTCACCCCTGTTGAATGCAGCATTAAGCATGGATAATGGTGATGCATGAATAAAGCTATCGCAGTTTGGACATGGTGTCCTGTCCTTCACAGTAAACAGTGTTGAACGCCGTTGTAAAATAGTTACTGGAAATGGGGAAAATTTGAAGCACATATTTAAAAGCATAGTCTGTAGACGTACAAGGCCAAACAAAATAAGCTTTGTATAACACCACATTGCCATCAAATTAGAACTTAACAAAAAGTCTTTAGTAGTGTTTCGAAATATACGTAGAATATACCGATAAGGGGATGGTGCCTATCATCCCTCTATCATGTAATAATTTACAACTTTAGACTGCAACATTAAATGTATACTTAATCAGCTGGGTTGTTTTTCTCTTAGACTGTCTTTCTCTGTTAATTTCTTCTTTTTCTTTTTATCTCAATGCTTCATTCTTCTTTTGTCTTTTTGTTTTTCATTTTCTTTCTTTTCATTTTTTCCCCTTGGAAAGTAGAAATCTTTATATATACCATGTATATCAAATATCAATAGGTTGCGTTATATTACTGATGATACATATCCAGCTTGAATATTAATATACATAAACTTTGTTTTGGTATGAAAGATGTTTGATTGAATGTATGACTATACCGTATTGAAAACAGCTGCAAATGAAACATTTATAAAAACAAAAATATTATACTTAAACTATCTTTTCATGTTAACCATTCCGGAATAAATTCCACCTACATGGTTAATGCCAACCTTGGAGGCTGAGATTCTGCCAACCAGCAGAGGTAAGCACATTGTTGTGAAATGAATTATCTATTTGAAAACATTGTTTGTAGAAAGCTAAACAAAGTAAAAAGAAGTACTGCACCATATGGTTATTTCGTCAATTAATGCTCATCATATGCACTAAAGGTCAAATCAATGACAAAGCCATGTCTGAAGTAATCCAACAAATCATTTGTTTTTAAACTGAAAGTTTCAAAGCGGTTCACAAATTATTATCTGTGGTTATAGGGCCTTTGCACCCAGCCAATGCCTTTCTCAACTCCCTGGGGAGCATACAGCCGGAGCTGCCATTTCGGTGCTCACAGCTAGCATTCAACAGTTCTAGCACTGCCCAACCACGTACTCATTTACAGCTGAGCAGGCTGGAACAAGCGGAGTAAAGTATCTTGGTCAAAGATACAAGACAGTGCCGTGCCGTGCCTTTAACCCGCAACCCTTCGGTCACGAGCCCGGCGTCCTACCACTAGACTACCGTGCCTCCATGATAGTCGACAAGCATAGTCAACCAGCTTTATGATAAAAATCACTAGAATAAGAAATAAGGAACTATCTCTTTTTGTTTAAATCAGTAAATCGATGCAGGAAGCCGAACAAAGTAAATTGTTACTGAAGAATATGGCTATTTCGGCAAGTTTTGGCCCATCAATGGTACTAAAGGACGAAAAAAATGTATGTCTCAAAACAAATTCGGGGCAGCCGAAGGCTGGATCGACTGTTCTGCACTGCTAAAGTTGTATTTTTAGAAACATATGTGAAATACAGCAAAAGAGGAAAGATGATCGTAAAACTCTTTAACGTTACCAAAGTTCAGCTTATAAATTTCAAGTCCACAGTCTGTCTAGCACCCAAGCTAACGAAATAATCATATATATACACCCAATCCGTCAGTCTTCCTTGTGTTGTCAATGAATTGCCAGTGTTTGGTTGTAAAGGTAAACCAACTCCCAATTCTCGGCGCTCATTGACATTGCTTTAACACTTTTCTAAACGTGTTTCCTATATCGCTGTGATGTTCAAATTGTATTCCCGAATATGAGCAAAGTAACCCTTTTACGTTTAGTTTGATTCCAACGGCAGGTGTTGGACCATTGCCATTATCTTTCACGAAGTGATTAAGTAAGCTGGCAATGGTCAGGGTACAGTTCTAGCTCTTCCGCAGACTATAACAGTGATAAGTGATTTCTAGACGAGGTTCATCCTGACCTCCTTGATTATATTTAGTATGTCATGTAGTGGTAGCTTTTTCATGAATATGTGCCACGTTCATGTGAAATTGTATGGAGTGTTTAAGATTGTGACTCATTTCTACTGAGTTACCTATATGCTTGTAGGTCCAGCTCAATTCAACACGTCTGATTTACTCAACGTTTCCGCAACCCCTGAGTTGCTGACAGAATTTACGATGAATTTGTTCAAATGGTGATTTACATATGATGTTTTTTTTAAAGATACCTTATAACATGTTCTCTTTCGAATAGAAGAAAATGCAGAAAACTCCAACTTTTGTATAAAATGCACAACAAATTAACTCCAGACTATTTAAATTCTCTATTGCAATCTTCCGTTGCAGAAAATAACCGTTATACCCTTAGAAACAATGATGATTATATAATTCGTCCTTTCAGGCTTTCTCTAACAAATTAATCTTTTATACCTTCAACTCTTCGCGGTTGGAATTCATTGGACCTTTCAGTACGATCATTGGCCTCATTACATTCTGTACAATCTCCTCCACCAATTTACTTAGGTTTCGGTGAACGTAAATTGAACATTTTGCATACTAAACTTAGACATCAGTGTAGTCCACTTAACTATGATCTTTTTAGAGTAAATCTGGTTGATAGTCCAGTTTGTTATTGTGGCCATCCCTGTGAAAATGCCTTTCACTTTTTTGTGAGTGCTTACTTTTTAACAACGAAAGTCATACACTGCTCCAAAATTTGAATGCCTTGCATGTTGATTTTAATTTAGAACTACTTTTGTTTGGAAATAGTCAACTTTCGGTAGAAAAACAACATAAGTATCTTCAGACATGTGCATCATTACATCAAATCCAGCAATAGGTTTTGACAGTAATAATTCATTTTCTATTTTTATTTAAGTTGTTATGTGTTTATGAAATTGTATTTCATTATTTTGCCTGATTTATTTGTTACATTGATTCTGTTCATTTTGAAAGAACTCTACCAGGATGCATGTCATGAAATCTGTATAATTTATAATTGATTCAAATGCGGATCGATTTCTCAGTTTACACGTTTACTTTTCTAGGTAACACCCCTCCCCTCCATCACCCCCACCCCCTCCCACCCCACAGTTCCTTCCTCAACCTATCTTTTCCCTTTTCTCAAAAACATATACACTATTTTTACAATATGTATTGAGGAGAGGACTCTATTAAGTTGTAATAACTTGTTGTCCGATCCATTTGTATATTTGTACAATAAAATATGTTTAAACTAAACATGTTCTCTGCTCTCATTTTAGAATTAATGAAATGTTGATACATGTACATAACCATGGACCAGATTTCAGCATTATATGTTAGCATTGGTGACCACTTGCAAAACATCCTTAATTACGTTTAATCAATTAATAAAATATTTTTCAAATCAATAGTACATTTTGTTTATATTCTAATTACATATCTATTGATTTATCTTCTATTGAATCATGTCAACAAATCCCTGTACACGTGTACATTACAGCAACGCTTTGTAAATAAGACATCGATCTTAAAAGATATTTATGAAATGTTTTACCCTCCAATTGGCACTAGTAAATTTATCTATTATTTAAATACAAACAAATGATGCTGGAATACAAAAACAAATGTGCGTCAGAATAAAAGAAGGCCAAACAAACAATATGAAGTGAATACGGGAAAATTCATCGTTGAGGATAACATTTAATTTGTTTGAAACGCAGAAAGACTGCAGCACAAAAGAAGGATCGCAATACACGCGTAAGACATGCTATTCGAAAATTATATATATCATTTTGCCATTCATAGGTGCAGGAAAAACAAAATCAAGATGTGTGTTTTGTAAGAAGGCAGGTAACGGCATGACGCAGGCAGTAGTAATGATAATAAAATTCTTTCAAACTTGTTGGTAATGATTGTTTGTTTTAAATTCAAAGAAATAACGCGAAATAAGTATTTTGTTGAGTCTTTATCGTGAAACGCATGCATCAATAGCCATGGCCTTGAATTTAGACACAGGATTCCGACAGAGCTACCTGTATAAATATATACCTGAGGACGCGCCATAACAATACAGGGTGGCACGGTCTCACCTTTGGGGAAATACGCGTAGCAACCCGCCATAGCACTTTAACGAGAAGATATATTTTTATTTTGAGCACGTGAATTAAGTTTTACTCTCTGAACGGAGAACTTGCGCAATATGTAATTAGTAAAACTTCTTTTCAAACTTCATCAGTATGGGATTAGGCACCACACTCTCGAGTTGATCCGAGGTACTCTCACAGAAAGAACACAGCAAGTAATCAGTAAAGGCGATATATCATCAGAAATCCAGATAACACTCGTTGCTCCATCGGGACGATAATGTAGTTTTATTGTATACATAAATGCTTTGCCACTGACCCTTACATCTACAGCGTGTGTTTTTGCGCACGACACTGCCGTCTGCCTTGCGGTAACCAACCACAAGGCGGAAATTAATATGCTTCAAAAGGACTTGAGTATGTTACAGCTAGGTATGGGGAAAGGTGGGTATAGGGAATTATAAGGACGAAAATGCCGTTCAGCTAAATTGGCCAAGAATCTACCCCATATGCTAAATATCTTGGTGTAACCACGGAATTAGATTATCTAAGTCCGTGGTGTAACCATATATCATCGAACTTGACCTGGAATACACACTTTTTATACGTAAGTAACCAAACACGCAGAACGATGGGTAACATTAAAAAGAAAAGTAAAAAAATATCAAGCTTACAAGGCATAAGTATGTCCAAAATCTGGAACCCAAGTATATTTGATCAAATTGACCATAAGTGAATTCTCCCCTCATACATATGTATATATATATGACATGTTTGGCAAACTTTGGCGCAAAGAAGACGTATACAAAACAGTCTCCAAGGACAGGAGCCATGTATGCATCCTAGATAAGCTAGATAAGTACAACATTAGTATAACAGAAAATATGGTAAGTTTAACTGTTGGAATTATCAAAGAAATCGTCTGAAAATTTTAAATGAAAAAAACACACCTACAAAATAGGTATATATATATTGATGACAGACTATACTTTACATAACAGGCCAGCTTATACAGGTCAGCTGGTTCCAAAGAGTAGACTTTACTGAATAGACTTCATTTTCCAATAAAACACGTACCCTTCTCATGGCATTATACCTCAACATATTAAGTCCCATATATGACCTAGGTATCTATCTATATGTTATACTCCACAGAGACAAAATGGCTTTAATGCGGAGGGGGTATGTAGATAAAATTTTGATAATATATAATTTCGTAGCCTATAGTAGATTCAGTTTGATCGCAAAAGATAATTCTTACATATATCTGTTACAATGCCAGTGAACGGTACCTTATAATTATTACAGAACGTATACACATAAGTAAACGTCGACGCCATGCATAATATTTGAATTTACTAAACACATCCAAATTACATACATGAAATTCAATGTTTAGTTTGTTTGACTAAACCATGTATCTGGGATGAGGGGAGGGGTTCTAAAGCTCAGAAAACTCCCCTGTATCAACATTTACGGTAGCAGAGAGGTTTACTTGCTAGGCAACAATGAAATCAGACACAAGTTACTACTGTTTGTTGTAATAATCCTACTAGCGTCAACCACATGCTTTATTTATGAATGAGCGGTGCTATGTCACGTGATATTTGTTTATCAATATATTTTTGGAAATGTTCCAAGAAGTACATGGTTTGATACGGACTTTGTGATTGGATGATAATCTGGCATGAATACAACAGTGATAGATTCGTAAATATTATTATAGAATATGAATCCAGCGAAAACATATTTTTCAACTCCAAAATATGAAGCCGAAATAATTTAAAAATTATTCACGTGCTTAAATATAACAAAAAAAATATCATGTTTTTTTTTACATATAATTTTCTCAACGGGCCAATCAAAGAGCGCGTTCTTCGTGTTTCGGGAAAAAACCGCGAAAGAACGGCCATCGGTTGTTATTGTCAAAAAAGGAAAATGGTCGACTGATATACGAGGCTCGAAATACGGAGCAGGAGCACACAGTCTGCAATTAATTTCATTGACAATCTATGAAAAGCTATGTTGCAGTCACTAGACTGCGGTTAATATTTATTCAAATGTCACACTTTGAAGATGGAAGCTTTTCCTAGCCCGAGACCTACACCTAAGTTTTTCCTCGAACCTCAGACATTTTCTACGAAAAAGGTGATGGTATTGTGTGAATTACACTGTGGTAGTAATTTTCAACTTTCTTAAATGATATAAGAATATTGGTTGTTAACCGTTATTGTGATCCAATGGTATTTGATGAAGGGAGTGAAGGTTTTGGTAAGGTTGAAAACACCTTGGCATAATCTTCAGCTGGATGAAGGTGGTAAATATTTTGTAGAAGTACAGTAGATCTACTCCTATAACATCAGGTCCAGTACACTCTGCCGATTGAGCTATATAGCTGTAAAGAACTATCTGAAACAGGTCTTTTCTTTTTTAAGGAAAGCGAAACAAAGTTGCTTTTAAAAGAAGATTGTATCTATCATGAGATTGATAACAAACTGACAAAAGACATTCAATATAAGTATTCTTTTTAAAAAATAATGATGTAAAAAAAATGGAAATTTTACATTTATGAAAAATGAAATTAAACATGTAACTGTATGCTTGGCTTTTTGTAGTCAATAATACCATAAACCATATTGTTTTATGCGACTTTGCTTTAATATAATGAAAATTGAAATCTTGAGAAAATATAGCTCAATACAGCTATAATTTATAGGTGGATATAGCTATATCTCATTGTAGACCATGGTCTCAACTGTGAAATAGTTTTAATTGTACATGCAAATATCTAATATTAAGTCCCTAGTCCCCCAAAATTTTCCTGGGCTTGCCGCGCCTTAGTTATAAATATTGCATGATCTTCATCATGGTGAAGGAGGCAATTATATGGCAGAAACAGAAAATATAGGTCTTTATAGCTCAAACGGCAGAGTGTACTGGACCTGAACATAAGAGGTTGCTGATCGGCCTTTTTTCTATCGGGTATGATTTTGCCGTGTAAAACTTATAACATTGTTGGAGTAAACTTAACGTAGATCATGATAACAGATATAGTCGATATGTTGCCAGTAGCCGGAGTTTCCTCTGGCCCTAACACCAGACTTAAACACTTTGATATATAGATGTCTGGGGTGGGGGTTCATGTCAAAATGTCTAAATTACCTGTACAAAGTACCAGTAATGGATTGAAACAACTGAAATCGAAATAGAGAATAGTTGGAAAGTTGTTAAACCAATATGTGTAGAGGTTAAGAAAAAAAAGCTTAAAACAAATTTGTTCCTTGTCAATGAAAATCCCATTTAAGTTAATGGTAACGGGTTGTTTCACCCTAAATCCTGTTCGCGCTAAGAGTTGTTGTTTGCTCTAAATCCCGTTCCCCCTAGGTTGTTTCGCCCTAATTTTTTTTATTTATTGATATACGTTAATATTTAAATGTATCAACTAAACTTATCAATAACTTTCTGCATTAGTGTTAGGTATATTTCATGTAGACGAATACGCAACTATGTGAGTGCGAAGTCAGCTTTTCACAGCTGCCGTTTGTGACACAAACTTAAAAACAACACATTTCTTTTTATAAAATTGATTTTAATGATATGGAAGACTAAGTAGACTAAAGGTGTGACTTAAAACTACAAAAAAATGATAGCAACCAGGGGCGCAGCTCGAACCTGCATGTTTTGGCTCTCCAGCCCGATGCTCTACCACTGAGCTCCCCGTCAAAGGTTCTCCTACCTTAAATGAGGAGGGTCAACGGCACCAGCTTGTAGGTGGACGAGGAATAGCGATTAATATCAAGATAGTGTTGTCGTTGGGGCTCACACCCACGGCCCTTGGCTCAAGTCCAATGCTCTACTGCTGAGCTAAAGGGAAATTCTCTACAGCTGACCTAATCAATGCACGTCTTTTACAAAAACATTTCTACCAAAAACTGGGTGTTGGAATGTTGGTACAACTACAGAAGACCACGTGTGTCCAATAATGATATCCCCTTCCAAGCCTCCCAAGTAGGTCTAATATGGGTGTCGGACCATTTCCCTGAAAATGCTCCCCCCCAAATGGTCAAGTCCCAAATTTGACACTTTTTGCCCCCACCATTTCAATAAAAAAAAAATGATTCACTATTTGTTAAGAAAAACCCACTTGTACCCCAAAAGCTAGTATTGTTCCAATATTGTGCTACATAATTTCATAAACTAACTTTGATGAGATGATAATATGTATAAATTAAAACATTTTGATTGCGTAAAAAAACCCAACGCTATTCAAATTTTTATGAAGATGTGTTTTGTGTTTCAGTCGAGAGGTACACCACGTGATTCACTGCCTCCTAAACCCCCAGTGAAGAGTGCTCCACCTATCAGTCGGATCTTCCCACACCGACCCATCCAGAGGGCGCAGATTGTATCATTCCGCGATAATCTGGACAGCAATAGATGTATCCTATGTATAATTAACACATTATGAGTTCTGTTGATTAATTAAAAAGGCAGTATTTACATTCATGACAATTCATTTATTGCTATTATGTATTTCAAATTATATTGATTTGTATATACAGACAGCAATCTATTAATCCTATTAAATTATCGAAATAAAATCATCTAAATTAACAAGAATAAATTGTCAAAAAAATATCTAAAGCACTGATGACTAGTCCTGCTTCTGAAGAAGATTTCCTTAACAATTGTCAGCCTATCTTGGAGCTAATACTTCCAATAGTAAACAGCTATACTTTGAGACTGGGTTCCAGGTCATATCAAAGCTGGGAGCTGGATCCTTCGGAGAGGTAAATGTATGATAGATAGTATAAAGAAACTCTTTCTTAATTTTAGTACAATAGAAACTTTTCTTAAGTGTATGATCAGGACAGGAAGAGTTGTATTAGTAATGTTCAAGGGTTTTACTCTAGATCTCAATACATAGCCAGAGGGGAGCATTTTCTAATCAAATAGTATATTTTTTCCAATAAATGAAGTGCAAGTCTAAATATTGAGTGAAAGAACTGATTTCTTTGGTGGCAGGCTGGCTAAAACATGGCATCACCCTTTCATTTAAAAATGAATAAAGTTTCTAATAAGTTGTTAGATCTATGAATTTGTTAAAGTCATCATTTTGTTAAAAAGTTCTTCCTATCTATTATATTTTTATAGGTTTTTAAAGTACGAAGTAAAGAAGATGGGAAGTATTATGCTGTTAAAAAATCCCAGGAGAAATTCCGTGGGGAGATGGACAGGAGGAGAAAGTTGGAGGAGGTAGCGAAACACGAATCCTTACCGCCTCACCCCAACTGTGTGACTTTCTATCGAGCTTGGGAGGAGCGGCAGCACCTTTATATACAAGAGGAGCTGTGTCAAAATAAGTCAGTATAAAATCTGGTTCTCGGTGTGTCGGACAAAGTTTGAACAAATTTTGGCTATAAGTTTATGATTTAGTAATAGATTTGAGTTGATAAGATCATATTCAAGAGGGGCTGTGTTGTTAGATTATATTCAAGAGGGGCTGTGTTGTTAGATTATATTCAAGAGGGGCTGTGTCATACTACTGCTGAGTTCTATAATTTCGCGGGTTTAGAATTTACTGCAACACAGGACGTTGAACAGAAGCAATTCTTTTGGCAATTATTGTGTGATATCAGTTTTTCAAATGCCCATAATAAATACATCTATAAAAGTAATTCAAATGCTATTGCTAATGAGTGTACGTTGCAGACAGCAGGATGGTTATATTTTCCTGTAAAATATTGCTAGGACGTACTGGCATTTTCCTATTACTTTTTCTTTTTATAATGACTTTGTTCTGATAAAGGAGGTTGTTTGCCCTGTGAACTGAATATTTTAGTTGGCCCCATTTATTAAATTGAAATATATGTGTTGTACAATTGTTAAAAGGGACTAAGTGAGCGTGCTCTGTTAATTTGAATATGTGGTATTTTGAGATATAGCTATTCACAATTATGATCTGATTTGTTGGTTAATTGCTCTTATGTTCAAGAACATGTGATGATATTCATACATGAATAGATGAAAGCATAGATTATCAGTTGAGAATATGGAAGAATATTCATATGTATTCATGTGTTGATAATAGCAGAAAGAGATATAACAGAACTTTGTAAAAATTGATTGTGATCATTTTTTTTGTCTCAAAACTCGTGTTGTAATGAATTTTTCTACCACTTCCTCTTTTATTATGTGTAGTTTGCTGCAGTATGCTGAGAGTCGTGAAACATCTGAAAAAATGATTTGGAAATATCTTGTGGATTTATTGATGGTAAGATGGCTTTTAAAATTTAAATGTTTTTTGTTAGTAATAAAAACACTTGGTAAATCAATCTGCACTTTGATTTGAAAACATGTTAGAACGGAAGTTCATTTGTGTTGGTATTGACGATTCTGATGCTGTATTTTTAACCTTTATTGGAGGCACAGTACTAAATACCTTAATGTTTGGAGACTCAGACTGGCTAGGTATAATTACCTGGGGTCCTGTGACCCTTCAGACATTTGACCTCTAGAAATATCTAGATATGCAGTCTTATGTTGCAAACAAAGGGGAAAAAACATCAAATTAGTTAACATGTGATAACCTTTTTTTCTCGTTAATTTGTTGACAGGCAGTAAAACACTTACATGATCACAACCATATCCACATGGACATCAAGCCAGACAACATCTTCATCTCCCATGACAAGGTCTGCAAGCTGGGTGACTTCGGACTTGTCATTGACCTGTCTAAGGTACAATATTTCGCTCTGGATTTCCGTTACTAATCTGTGCGAGTGGTATGATGGAGTGACCTACAAAGGCAATTCCTTGAGAATGTTAATGTGTGGCTAAAAGGTAATTTCCGATAATTATCTCCCTTTAAAAAAATCTGATGGGGCGGAGAAAGTCTGAACTATAGGGCGTCTGATGGGGTGGAGATAGTCTGAACTATTGGGCATCTTTGAAAAAATTGCACAACAGGTTTGGTGTGCACTTAATTAATGTCTCAAATTGCATAAGGCACTAAATTTGTACTTTTGGGATGCACCTGAAATGATACATTTGGGATGCAATCTTCATAAATCTTTCAAGATGGTTATTAAGTTTTACAAGACGTGCAGCTTTAGAATTGAAGAGGTTTGTTCAAAGTGTAGACAACTAAACACAGCTTGTATTTTTCCAGGGCGGAGACTTCTCTGAGTCACAGGAAGGAGATCCCAAGTACCTTGCTCCAGAACTGATGGATGGCAGGTTCTCCAAGGCAGCAGATATCTTCAGGTATTCAATTTTAAGCTTTTAAGTTACTTGAATATATCTCTTACATTTTCTCTAGTTGACTTTTCACTATGATATCCCTGGAACTTGTACTGATATCCATCTATTTTTTATAGCCTTGGAATGTCGGTGCTAGAGTTGGCCAGTGACCTTGACCTACCAAGAGGAGGAGAGGGTTGGCACCTGTTGCGAACTGGACATCTTCCTGAAGAATTTCTTCGTGGTGAGAATCTCAAACTATTAACGACTTTTAGAAGCAAAATCTGTTTATTAAATGATTCAATATACTCTGTTCCCAACTGAATGAGGGTGGCAATTCCGATAACACAACTTTTCACTGCAAAATGCAAGTCTCTTAAGACTGTTGAGAAACGATTGCTGGTTTTAAAAATAAATTTAGGATCTTGCATGAGTTTCCATTTCATATGAGATTTATGGAACGAGTCTAAGAATTTTTCAATTTAGGGAGCCTCTGGCTTTTAATCACATAATCAAAATTTGTGGCATTTATTCGTGTAAAACGACAATTTTCATGCAACCTTGAAATGTAAAAAGCCGCCATTTTGACTCCAGTGCGTAAGTCTGTAACGTCGTGTACTTGTCCTTGGTGTGACGTCACAATGGAAACTTTCATCCAATCACAGGGCTGATAGGTCATATTACATGGGTTAATATGCAATATAATATGACATGGGTATATTCACATTATATTTGAAATTGAATTCTCAATGGACCTCTAGTTAGGATACTCTTTACCTTTCTGCTATTGCAGACAAGTCATTTGACATGAAGTATGTGATACAACAGATGTTGGACCCGGAGCCGACTAGTCGCCCGACAGTGGACCAAGTTCTTGCCTTCCCATATGTTAGAAAGGTTAACACTTTACATACATAATCCTTCAATAAAAAATACCCTACTAAAATATATAAGGCGAACATAATTTTGTGTTTGCATTTTGCCTATTTACCCTAATTTTTGAGCCTACCTTCATGGATATTTTTGGCTGATAGCTCTGTCACATTTGTAAATAAAGAACTGTCATTGTGAAAAATAATTTAAAAAAAAATTGAAAAGGCCTGCCCACCAACGTAATTCTTCCAATAATCTGCATACCACCTCTGGTGTATTGTCGTGGATGTAATTACCTACATACTGTACCCATACATGTTATACAGATGCACATTTTATGTTGGATTATTTATTTTTGCATTTTATATTTCCACAGATTTGGAAAAGACGACAGCGTGAATACATGATGAACAGTGCGGTAAGTGTTCAGGAATTAACTATAGGGGAATCGGCCCATATTTGGCTTAAAAACTAGGCAAAAATTACACTGATGTTTTCATTTTGCATAGATATCCAATGAGTTAGCTAAAGCTATCAAAATCATACTCTAAAATTAATTAATCTTAGATTAAGTTTACCTAGATGTTTGACATGCTACTGGTTGCTATGCAAGCTTACTGTATATCGATTTTTGTTATATCCACAGAATAACCAATATTTATGTCCCCTGTGCATACTCTGTAATCTGGGGCATGTTCGTTTATGCGGAACAACCGGTTTGACCGTTTATAAATGTAACAATTTCGGGTATAAATCCAGGCGGACCTGCAAATGTTTATGCAGGCCTTGCAAGGCTTTGTCAACAGTGGTCCGACCGGTTTGACCGTTTAAACGAAAACGGCTCTGTTCTCCTGCTCTGTAATATTACCTCCCCTTATTTCTTTTTTCCAGGTGAACACTGTACGGTCCATGTTCCAGAGAGTATTCCAGGCAATACTCTTCCTGTCCACTGTGTTTACCTTGCCTTACCACTATTTCCGGCCAGCCCTCCTCAGTGAAAACTCCGGACGCAGCAGTCTTAGCAGTAACAGCACAAGTCTGGGACTCGACCACAGTCTGTCTGATGGTAGGCCGTCACTTTTTCACGTACAGTGACACTTCTGTAATTCCAAGTTGCTCTGTCTAATGGCAGGTTCCCACATATATGAACAATCATTGACCACTGTAACTCCAACTCTGTCTGATGGTACGCCCTTCTTACAAATACACAGACACAGACACTGACACATCTGAAGCTTGTACTAAATCCGTTGAAAATCTCAAAATTGATTTTAAAATGTTTTTTTATAATAGTTTAAATATCTTTAAACAGCAGATGCTGCAGTTTGTCACTATTATGTGTCAGTTTGATGTAACTTATATTTAGTTGTTCATGGTGAAAAAAAAATGAAAATTCATGCATAAATTTGCATTTCGAGGAAAATTTATGGGTCGCACATCAAAGCATAACACTGGAATTATACTAAGTTACCCATTCATGCATGGGGATGAGACTTGTTTTAGGGCTTTCTGACCATAGAAAACTCTCATTGTTTCTAAATAAAAGTTCGTTCCATGAGAAATTAAACATACACATTCTTATTTTTACAGATGATTGTTTCGAGGATGAGTTCAGTATACACAACAATTCTATGGGAATTCCGTTGGATAGTTCATCATCAAGTGAAAGTTTCCTTTCTGAGTTTGCAGTGCCAAGGTATGTTGTGTATTCTCCCTTCAACGATTTGTCTCAAGATTTAGCAGTGTCTCAACCCCCTACAAGCTGCACATGCTAGTGATCACACAAGAAATAGATTGAATAGTGTGTACCTTTTTATGCTAAATTATACAACACAATGTTGTAGCGGTAAAGTTGTAGAAAGTATTTTTTATCATCGGAACAATTATCTTTAAGGAATGGACTAAAATAGTCCACCACTTTTGGAGGGAAGGGAAGGACAAGAATAGAAAACCACACCCCTTTGTGGTAGAACCTTTATTATAATGATAGCTTTTGTTTAGTAGAAAAAATAGGGCATTATAATGAGGTGATTTACATTTTCCACTTTACAGCCAGCTGCCTCTGCGAAAGGCCTACACATCCCCTGTAATGCGACACCGAACTAAAGACTTTGTCAGCGCACCAATGAGTTCATCGCCTGTGCTTCCTAGTCGGAACAGGTACATTTTGTTGTCGTAGTGGAAACATGTGAACTGACTAGTGGTAACTAGCAAATGGCAGGAGTGAAAGTTGATGGGGTTCGTCCATTTTTAGATATTTGTAAATGTAAGATGTTTAAATCATAGGTGCTGGACGATAGATTTTGTTTTTTCTGTTACAGAAGTCCTAATCTGAGTTTTGAGAACAGTTTTGAGGAGGAGAGAGCAGTAACACCAACAACCTTTGCCACAAACCTGCTTGACCTTAGTGGTGAAGATATCACTAAACCTGGCATTGAACCCAAGAACCTCATGGATGTAAGTAGATTGATACTATTGAGGCCTGATGTCTTTGTCCTGACTGGGACAAACCTGAACTCTAGGACAATGACTCGGAAACATTATTCAGAACTGTCACCTTGAAGTTGTATTTTAATCAAGGGGATGCAGTTTACTTGAATTTTCATGTGAAGTCAGGTTCAGTGAAATAAGTAGTAGGTATAATGTGTTAGGTAGCTTTTATCTGAAAATGATCAAAAAAATTAAATCATGTATTTAATAAATATTTATTTTGAGATTTTATTTTTACAGATGTTTGATGCAGCTAATGATGATGACTGACAAGGTGTAGGTGGTTGTCGTATAATGTTATCTTTGGAACATAGTCGGAGATCATATTGGACGTCATAATAGTGTTATCATCTGCAGATGGCTGGAGTTATCGACAGATGTCATGACATTGCTATCCTCAGAACATGGTCAGTTATTGAACATCGAAGCTGTGTTTATCTTAAGAAAAGTGCCTGGAGTTGTGAATGGATGTTGTTACAGTGTGTTCCTTCCAGGACATGGCTAATGATTGTGTTCAGAACTGGTTTCTGAGCTCAGCCTAGGCAGACAGTGGGGAGATGTAAAGTGCTTGGAACTCAAAAAGTTTGTTGCCAAATTTGTGAAAGATTGTTTTGTTTAAGGATTGAGTTACTAGAAGCCTAATGACAGTGTTATGCTTACCTGCAGTTAATTTTGTGTATATTTTTTTGTCTAACCTTAAGGCTATATATGCTACCTTGCTGTAAAATGCACCTCCCTTTCAAAAGATTTCTTCTCTCCACACGAAGAAACATGTAAAATAATTTTGATGAATGTTAAAGTTAGACTGGGTTTAATGATGTTTTGAAAGGGATGCATTGATAGTACTGACTGATTGAATTAGGTGTAAAAAACTAATGACAGGTATAATGTGTAAGGTAGCATCTATCCTAAAGGATAAACTGTCATGTACGAAATGACTTCGGTTTGATAGCTTGAGGAGAAAATTCCAAAATTTGTTAGGAGAATATCAGAGTGTTTGTGAGAGAGAATGACTTTTCTGCTTGCAAGCACTTCATTTCTATTGATCTTTGATATGTTGAAAACACTGCATTTGTTTGTTTATGCTAAAGGATTAGCTTTGGAAGAAGATTATTTTTATATAGCTTCGTTAACCAATATGTGTTCAAATCAAATATTGTGTTCAGACATCTAAATACCGGTATCATCTTCCTTCATCTAACTTCTACTGTCATTTAAATATCATCCGTCATCTAATATCTCCCATCATCTAAATATAATCATCTAACACCATTCAATATTACACTTCTGCCAATTTTCATCTATTAAAAATACAATTTAGTGTCATCTAAATATAGTTTTCTGTCGTCTAATTATGATCTATAGCCATCAAGATGTGTCATTATAACCACTGTCAGGGTGTCTGCAGACCAATCATCAGTTGTGAAGAATTAACATTGCATTAGTTGAATAATCTTTGAATTTAAAGGAAAAATTTATAAAACCTATTTCGAGAACTGATCATGAAGAGTGCTTGATTTCCATTTTATGAACAAGCCTCACCAGTGATGTTACTCTGAATAGTAATTCTTAATTGGTAATTCAATGAAAAAAAAAAAGGCAAAAAGGAATATTTCCAGTTTCTGTATTTTCACTAGACATGCTGTGGAAAATTGTCCTAAGAAGTCTTTAGATTTGATGCTAAAAATTCTGTAATTATTGCAATCTATACTGTTTTGTGTTCAGTGACCACCGTTATGTGTTCTTGGTAAAGTGTCTATACATTGGGCAGTTTACTCACCATGTCCCACACTGTGTCCTAGGTGTGCTATACCTTGGGGAGTTTACTCTACCATGTCCCACACTATGTCCTAGGTGTGCTGTACATTGGGGCGTTTACTCACCATGTCTCACACTGTGTCCTAGGGGTGCTATACATTGGGAAGTTTACTCACCATGGTCCACACTGTGTCCTTGGTGTGCTATACATTAGGGAGTTGACTCAACATGTCGCACACTGTGTCCTAGGTGGGCTATACATTGGGGAGTGTACTCACCATGTCCCACACTGGGCCCTAGGTGTGCTATATATTGGGGAGTTTACTATACCATGTACCAAACTGTGTCCTAGGTGTTCTATACAATGTGGATTTTACTATACCATGTCCCGCACTGTGTCCTAGGTTTGCTATACATTGGGGAATTTACTATACCATGTCCCACACTTTGTCCCAGGTGTGCAGTATAAGGCCTAGGTGTGCTATACACTGGGGAGTTTACTCACCATGTTCCACACTGTGTCCTTGGTGTGCTATACATTAGGGAGTTTACTCACCATGGTCCACACTGTGTCCTAAGTGTGCTATACATTGGTGAGTTTGTTATACCATTTCCCTCGCTGTGTCCTAGGTGTGCTGTACATTGGGGCGTTTACTCACCATGTCTCACACTGTGTCCTAGGCGTGCTATACATTGGGGGGTTTACTATACCATGTACCAAACTGTGTCCTAGGTGTGATATACATTGGGGAGTCTACTCACAATGTCCCATGCTGTGTCCCAGGTGTGCAGTATAAGGCCTAGGTGTGCTATACAATTGGGAGGTTACTCACCAGGTCCCACACTGTGTCGTCGGAGTGCTATACATTGGGAAGTTTATTATACCATGACCCACGCTGTGTCCTAGTGGAGCTATACATTGGGGAATTTACTATACCATGTACCAAACTGTGTCCTAGGTGGGCTATACATTGGGTAGTTTACTCACCATGCCCCACACTGTGTCCCAGGTGTGCTATACGTTGGGGAGTTTACTCTACCATGTCCCACACTATGTCCTAGGTGTGCTATTCATTGGGGAGTTTATTAAACCATGTACCACGCTGTGTCCTAGTGGAGCTATACATTGGGGAATTTACTATACCATGTACCAAACTGTGTCCTAGGTGTGATATACATTGGGGAGTTTACCATACCATGTCCCACACTGTTTCCTAGGTGTGCTATATATTGGGGAGTTTACTGACCATGTCCCACGCTGTGTCCTAGGTGTTCTATACAATGTGGATTTTACTATACCATGTACCAAACTGTGTCCTAGGTGTGCTTTACATTTGGGAGTTTACTATACCATGTACCAAACTGTGTCCTAGGTGGGCTATACATTGGGGAATTTACTATACCATGTCCCGCACTGTGTCCTAGGTTTGCTATACATTGGGGCGTTTACTCACCATGTTCCACACTGTGTCCTTGGTGTGCTATACATTAGGGAGTTTACTCACCATGTCCCTCACTGTGTCCTAGGTGTGATATACATTGGGGAGTTTATTAAACCATGTACCACGCTGTGTCCTAGGTGTTCTATACAATGTGGATTTTACTATACCATGTCCCGCACTGTGTCCTAGGTGGGCTATACATTGGGTAGTTTACTATACCATGTACCAAACTGTGTCCTAGGTGTGATATACATTGGGGAGTTTACTCACCATGTCCCACACTGTGTCCCAGGTGTGCAGTAGAATGTCTCAAGTCTGCTATTGGCAATACTTTATCACCAGCTACTACACTGTACTTAGTAACAATGTATGGTGTATATCAGCCATCATCACAAGGACCATTGCTATGACAACATGACACACAGAATGTTGATAAAAGACAACACTTAAATGTTTTCTTATAGCCATATAGGTGCGTTTGTAACAAAATATCCAAGTCATGGAAGATCCAACAAATTATTTTCAGGTATTTGCCATTCAGAGGTCTCTATAGGCGGATACTTTAGTGTTTGTCAGAAAGAGTTCCTAATAGGGAATTGTGATTAAGATGGAGGCATATTAGACCCCAAGCAACCATGCCCCTTCTTCATTCAGTATTTAATAAACCAAAATAAATGGTACCACTCCGTACCAGTACAATTTTGTTCATTGAAAAGCTTGTGTACACGGTTTAGTCATCATATTATATGATTTACTCTATAATAGAGATGACATTGTTATTGTCAGCGTTGCCATCATCACTCATATTGTTGTTATATTTTATATAGGTTAGATGCACAAATTTAAAGTTGTTATCAATTCATTATCATTATTTTTTTTATCACTCATCAGAACTAGGAATGATGTTGTCATTTAAATCATCCAATGTTTCATCACCTTTTTTTTTGGTGGTTCATTATTTTGATGTATTCATTTTTTGATTGCCATTTTTGCCATTTATGTATTAAAGAGTGCTGTGTGCGACACTGTGCCTACCCATGTCCACTGTACTTGTACACAGGTTTTAAGTTCATAAAATGCGTATTTACAAGAACGTGATTTTTTCTTACAACAACACATTTCTTATACATGTTCAGAGTACTTACATGTGTCTTGTACATACGCCTCCACACACTTTGTACACCTCGTATGACTAGAGTACTTGTTCATGTCTCTAGTAAATACGTTTGTATCCCGAGTACTATCTTTGGTGTTCTGGTAAACTTTTTTAATGACAAGAATATGATACATTGCTGTAAAGGGGGTTATTTTTGTAGAAGGAAAAAATATTTTGCGATGAGGTGATACCAGCTAATTAAACAAGTCTGTTGGATTGAACCAATTCATATTGACTTAATAATAGTGTAAGGATGGTATGAGTTCTATGAAGGGAAAGGTTTTATCTGTCTTTAAAGACCACAAAAAGGAGAAAGCAATTACATGATTTATAAAGAAATGATGTGGTCGGTGCACACACATGGTAGCTGTAGATGGGTGGAAGTTTTAGACCGGGGATATTTATAGATTATCTCAAAAGAACATTCAATTATAGCTACAGGCAGATGGTAGGTGAAGACAAGTGGTCTCGGAAATACAAATTTAATTAGAAATATCGATCCGAGGGAAAAGTTGCAAATGAAAAAAACTGTCAGCAGAAATAACCTGCAGTATGGAATCTAGCTTTGTGATGTTAAGAATGTAAAGTGTAACTTTTGTTGTTAAACAATGGTTAATTAATACTTCCTCTTCTCGTTAAATACTTCCACTTCTTGTTAAATACTTTCTCTTTTTGTTATCGATTGCAGCCAGTATTGAATCTTTTTTTCCATGTGGATGCATTTTTCAGTAATTATGAATTTCTTACTTAATGGTAATAATTTTGCAAGTGTTGATAACTTCTGTTTTGAATGTGAATGTCCAGGGAAAATTTTTGTGAAGCACTTTGTTGATAAGTTCCTGGTCACATCAGTATAGATGAGGGTATGTATGCTAAACTGGGCTTTCCATCATATGTGAGGATATATTGTCTTCTGTCTTGTACATTCACTGCCAGCTCATATTATAGGGCATTCCACACCACAATGTGTTCACAGTAGCTATATAATTAGACACAAACTTCTGGAAGCTTTCTCAATTTTTTTTTTTTTTTAGTACAATTATTGAAGGAACATTTCATGGTTTTCTTGGCATTTAGAAACTTCAGAAGTCAAATAACATTTCCATTGAAATTTAGAGGGTCAAATATAATAGACATGTTGTCTTTTGAAAGCCAAGAGTCAAAGCTCATTATGTTGAGTCAAAAACACAGTCTTAAGGGTCTAAAGCCCTGGTTCATGTAAACAACTTAACAAGCATTTATATAAAATGAATAAGAATGCAAGATTCTATTTATCTCATAGTCAAGATATTTTATCTACGAGGCTGCCCTCCCTTGGCCAGTCTACAGAAATGTTTACACTGTAATGGTATTGGGTAAAATTTACTCACAATATTTATTCGGACACAATGAATATTGTTCCATTATTGTGAAAATTGGCTTCATAATATTGCTAGGAGAAAGTAAGGTGTCTGCAATAAATTTCCACATGTGTACACAACAGCCATGCTGGCTGATGAGGCAGCATAACCCCTCATAAGAAAGAATGTTTATTTTCTATGATGGAATTTCGTTTAGATATGTTTACCTACACAAGCTATGCAATAAATGGGGTACCAGGGTGACATATTTTAATAAAAATATTTGAATAATATATCAGTGTTTATTTTTTGTACCAACAAAGTAATGAGGCCTATGGATTTGTGATTCAGGGTTTACTTGGACATTATTTACTGGAATCATTTTGTCTTACTTCGTTACTTTTCACCTGGACACAACCTTTTCAAAATCTTATTTTCCAAAGCTCTAACAGGGATCTTGGCACCCACTGTTGTAAGATCTTAATTGGTTGTACATACAAAGGTTGATCTTTTTTCTCTTTCTTTTTACCTGTTGTATGGATATTTTTGTATTTTTGAAATTTTGAAACGTGAATAACTTAGAGGAGGCTCAATGGGAACTTGAAAGATTCCTCTAGAACTTTCTTAGAATAATCTATAGCAAACTTGCTGTAAGATTCTAAGATGACTTGGCAGTCATCATGTTCTTGTGATTGGTTCCAAATTGAACATTCACAAGCAAAGACCATGGAGAACCAACCTGTGAAACTTGAGAGAATAGATTTTTACTGTCAAATTCAAAGATGACTGGCAGTCATCTTGTTCTTTTTATCAATCTCAAAATTGAACATGCACAATTAAGGTCTCAAGAAGTACTGGAGAGATTTATTCTCAAATTTAACTTAAAGGTTTTCCTTTGTTCTCCATTTGGGCGTATTCCATTTTGAGATTGATTGGAAAAACAAGATGATTTTGACAGTAAGTTTGTTGCTATTTCTAAACTCTTTGACCATACTTTTCCCATGTAGTGCTTCCTCATCCTCCTTAGTGGTGCATGTTATGTTTTGAGACCAACGATGAGATTCATGAGCAAGATGGCCACCAGCAGCCGTCTTGGATTTTGAAATCAATATTTAAAATAAAGGTGTACATAATGAATTGCATCAAATTTCAGTTTCCAGCTGTTATATTGGTCAAGGCAAAGCAAGTTTGATATTTGACAAGAGTTGATTTCGGACTTTGGATCTCGAATACGAACACCCCCTTGTTTAATTGCCTGCACCGGGCACCCCGTTTTATCTGCAAAATACAGTAGTTCCAGGAGATAATTTACCTTAAACAATTTGACCGACCCATTTTTGGGCCCCACCCCTCGTCCCCTCAAGTTTTGTTTGCATCTTGGCATGCTTCAAACCAAATATAGTTGATATGGATCCATGACAGTTGAAAAGAAGTCGCACAAATCAGCATGGCGAAATGAACTTTTAGCCCCATCTCACAGCCCCCTGGGGGTTCAGCCCTTCCGTTTGTACAATTTGAACCAACACCACCTGCGATGCTTAAAACCAAATGTCCAGTTAACCCCTTTTTTGCTTTATCCCTCGGGGCCCCTTTGGAAGGTCAGTCCCTCCATTTGAAGTGTGAATTCCAGCCTCCTATATAGTGAAGGGTGTTGAGGTAATTGGGTGAAATTGGGAGAAGTCATCTGAAGAAATTGTTGGACGAATTCTGCTGTATGGCATAAGGTCACCTTTTGTCACAATAGGCAAGTTTCATTGTGGCATCATCATTTCCAGTCAGAAATCAGAAAACATTGCATTCCTGACATCGTGAATATTCTAGTAGAATCAATATAAAAAAATGCTTGGTTATATGTATTCTTTTTTCGAATATTCTTTATTTTCAAATTGTAAAAATTATCCACCAATCCTTACGGCACTTCCTCCGAGTACAAGGAAGACCAGGTTTGTCCCTTAGAGTATTCTGCAGTGAAACAGAAGAAACTTGAAAAACTGGCTTAAAACTTTTATTTAAGCAACAGAACAATACATAATATTTTGTTTACATTTTAAATTGTACAGTTAAAGGTCATGTACAATTTCTTTTCATTTGCATCATAACATGTTTCCACTTTAAAATAAAGAATAAGAATTCAGACCATTTTCACACTAGTCGATCGTACAGGTAATGAGAAACGATGAGGCCATTGACAAACTAGTCGGGTAATGAGACGAGATGATGAGGTCAAACAATAAACTATAAAGTGGATGGTTCTCCAGCCAATTTTGTTTTTGTGGTAAAATGTTTTGTAAATTAGTTAACGAGCATCACATTATTGAGCATTATTCACCAAAACAAAGGCAAGTTTGATTATTTCCTGGTATTAAAATCGGAAAACATATTAAACTTTACTTGCCAGGAATAAGAGAAGAACATTTTGTCACAGGTTATCTTATGCCCAAATTTTTGTGTGCTGAAGTTAAACGGCTATAACTATCGTAATCTGTAATCTGCATACAATTCTCAGCATTCACACTAAATCTAAAAAGATTTCGTCAAAAACTGAGACTAGTTGTGGCATTACGTAAAGACAAACGGGGGACAACACATCACGCTCTGCTTTTAGCGGACATATAAAAACTTGTAACATTGTAAGAATAAATTGAGGCATCATGCCAAACTAAAACTGTCTTTCCCCACCGACAAAAACGTGTTTACGAAACCGAGACAGTTAACACTGCTGAAGGGAACAAAATCTGTTCAATTTTCAAGTTCAATGATCTGATAGGACCAAATTTAAAATATTAATAAAAAATAGACAAGCTCAAAGAAAATAGAAAAAACATTTTTTCCCCTCAGTATTTTGCCAAATGAAACATTTTTTTGAACAAGAATTGATGTCCAGGCGATATTATTATATAAATTAATCCCTTCTTCAACAGGTATGACCTAGCCAAAACTGACCATGGTGTTCTTACAGTACAAACTGACCACCTCTACAGAAATGTCCTGGTCAATTTTTGACAGATAATGGCCTTCCTTCTACAGATTGAGTGGTACAGAAATGACTTTGCCAGAATGTCCTAAACTTTAAAGTTTCCAACCCTACACCAGATCTGACTGAAAGCACCACAGATTGCCACACAACAGAAAAACTGTTCCCAAATACACAGTCATAAATTCTTTTCCAAGCCAACATAGTTCCGCGAGACTCGGTCTCATTATTTAAAGGACCTGGGGCATTATGGGTCAATTTTGGCCTCATAAGTGAAAATTTTAACTTGCATTTATTTACCAATTTCTGCTATAAACATATTTTAAACTTGGTGCAGAATTTTCCAATGAACATGCATATATGACCTGCCATAGCAACGAAATTGCATTACTATGTAGAAATAGCAAAAATATGGTGTTTTGGGAAAGTTAGCATGCAGAAATGAAAGCCTCCGCATTTGACAAAAATTCCTTTCCGCAAATGCAGAGGCTTTCAAAAGTTTAAGAGTGTTTAGTTAGTTTCCTTCAAAATGGCAAATTGTCAACCAAATAGTACAAAACAGACAATATTCACGCATTTTGTTACGAAAATGCGGGTTTATGTCTCTTTGTAATGCAATATCTCCTTAACCAGTTGTCGAATGAATTTGAAATTTCATATTTGCATACTTCACTTATTCCAGATAACGAATACAACTAATTCACATCCCCCTACGAGGTCGAAAATGACCTTTAACGCCCCTAGTCCTTTGGGTCCAGATACTGCTATTTTTCACACATTCACACATACAATAAACACATAAACAATGTTTTTCCACTGACAAACTAAAGATTTTTTAACTAAAACTCCAATTCCTGCAAAAAGCATTTGCCTGTGACTTTATCAAACCACCACAAACACTGATATTAACAATGTAAGGTTAGCTAGGCGATTGTTTATTAGTTATCCTGCTGTAGTTTCCTCTGTACCATAGCAGATTAAGTCATTTTACAGAGGTAGCGTATCGGTAACATCTTGATCTCGCCATGGTCGGTCTTTATGACACCCTCGCCACCGTCTATACTCAGGAGTGTACCGGTCAGCTCTCTCTCCTCACTCAGAATTACCTTGGCCTGGAAAAACAACGATGTGTTCATCAACAATCATCAACAGCAGTAAGTTAGTAAGATTAAGAATAGATGTACCTGACTTTTTATCAGAATAAAATCAAAATTATTTTTCTATGTTCAAAAAGAGGCTTGTATGCCATTGTTTGAACTCTTAAATAAGTATGTTTTTAGAATCCTTCCAATGGTGGATTTTTTTTACTCTCTGCTATATTAGTGTATGCTCATGTTAATTTTTACACTTCTATTTGTATGTATATACATTGGACTAATGTTGTTTAATGATACTCTATATACATGAACTTTGTGCATTCGGTGATAATTTAAATATGTATCTGTGATAAATGTTTCATAAATCTTGTATAATATTTTGTTATCAACCAAATTACCGTGTATTTTAACACCTACTATGTTTTACAAACAAGACGACCCTGTGGTAGATTAGCCACAGCTAAACAGGTTCTGTTATCCTCACGAAATAAAGTTTATTCTTATTATTAAAATGGAGAGGTAGGCTTACCTTGTCACCCTTTTCAGGCAGGACAGGTTCCAAATGATCACAAGCCACATTGACTGTCTTGTCTTCCTCTGCGATGTACACGGAACACATGCCACCCTATAAACAAACAGTGAGAAATATGACATTTTGAAATTAATGTGAAGCAAGGCATGGGCTGAATGTACTTTCGTCAGCGGTTGCATTCACTGAACACCATTTCAAATATGTTGATGTTTCTCCACACAATCAAAAAGTCTAGACAGCTGCTCCTATTAATTATGCACTAGCCTTCAGCCTGAAGTAAATGAGAAATACAACTTGCCAAACTATGATTGCATATTATTTTCACTATCCAATATTGCAGATATGTAAATTAGCAGTTATTTTGTACCTTGGTACTCTGAACTAATGCCACTGCTGATTATTGTGTTAATTTGAGAGATCAAATTTCTTAGAGAGGAATACCCTGTTAATAATTTTCTATTTACAGAAATTTTAACCTTTGCCCTTGAAAGCTATTCCAAGCAAGAACTTTGGAAAGAATATCCTGTATTTTTAATGTTGAGTTTGAATAAGCATAGAAAAGAACTCAACTTATTGTGCAAAAACTGCTTCTATATTTTCATTAAAACAGTGACCTCATGCAAGGAAGACAGGTACAATATTTTGAGCTTGATTTGATCAATCAAGGGAAATCAACTGTATGTATAGATATTAGAAATCTGGATGGACAGATGAGAATCAAGAAACGATCCCCTTTGGTGTTCAATTAGAGGCCTAACAATTTAACAGGTCAATCCAAGAGCAAACCAGTAACTGATGCATTACAATGTCTCACCGTAACACTTCTGATTGTGCCAGTCTGGTAGATAAGATTTGGGTCGTCGTGTGTTTCCCTGATTTTGACCTCAATCTCTGTGGTGTGCCAGTCTGCCATACTGTGGTCTATAGCCATGCCGGGCGTCTGTGGGGTATAGGGTGCCCCTGGGGTCATGGGGCTGTACCCCATGGGTGAAGGACTGCTGGAGAAACCCCCAGGTGACGGGGATGGCTGGTAACCACTAGGACTTGGGGTGCTGCCAAACCCAGCTGGACTAGGTGCTGTGGATAAATATCAGAGATATGTTAGCAAACATCTTGGTTTAAACTGCACCTGCATCATACAGCATAAAACATGCAACGCTTTTTAACAGATTCTGTAATAATTCTCCATCCTAGATCATTAGTAATTTGTATCTTTGGAATACAGTATCATGGCATTTGTAATACCGAAATTGTTCTCTGTTCAGACACAGGAGAGGTAAACAAAGCTTAGAGGGAGTTGCAGCCTACCTTGATAGCTAGCAGGAGAGGGTGCAGCTTGACCGTAGGGAGAGTAACTGGTCCCAGGGGTCTGCGGCGTAAATGGTCCCTGAGGACTGGGTGTGCTCTCTTGGTATCCCGGTGTGGCTGGGTTGGGAGTGTTGTAGTTGGCTGGGGATGACTCATCAAAACTGTAGTCTTCAAACTCAGAACTCCTTTAAACAAAAAATATTGCCATTAAACTCTTATTTTACATTAATGATGGCATTTCATCAAATTTAAGTTTCCTGTAACTAAATGATAATAGTTGGCTATAAATTCAAGTTCATGCAAAAGAAAGATTATCATATTAAAGGCCTGATTATTGGGTGGGAAGGGTAAACCTAAGTGTTTTCGGTATCACTCTAAAAACATTCACAATTAAATATTCTTATATTCCTCATTTGCTTTCAAATGTTCTATAGTGAGGTTTTTCTTCAATGAAATGTTTCAATTCAAGAGGTAATTTTTAACATAAATCAATATATATTTTACTATAATGCATTACAATTAACATTTGAGGAAATATAGCCTATAAATAAATCTGAATTTGAGAGAGTTCTTCAAGCAAAAAAGTTTGTGATTCTGGGCCTTCTCTTTCTGTTTGGGTTAACCGTGTTTGTGGAAGGAATTAAACTTACTTGCTTTGTACAGGTGTTAGGATTGGCTGTATCCCAAGGGGAGAGGTAACTTACCTGCTTCAGGTGTTATAATTGGCTGTATCCCAAGGGGAGAGGTAACTTACCTGCTACAGGTGTGAGGATTGGCTGTGTCCCAAGGGGAGAGGTAACTTACCTGCTACAGGTGTTAGAATTGGCTGTATCCCAAGGGGAGAGGTAAACCTACCTGTTCAGTGTGTTGGTGTAGGCCAGGTCCCTGTGGAAGGGTTACATACCTCCTTTGTATGTTTGTTGGGGACAGTAAACCTACCTGTTCAGTGTGTTGGTATAGGCCAGGTCCCTGTGGAAGGGTTACATACCTCCTTTGTATGTTTGTTGGGGACAGTAAACCTACCTGTTCAGTGTGTTGGTGTAGGCCAGGTCCCTGTGGAAGTGTAACATTCCTTCTTTGTATGTTTGTTGGGGACGGGAAACCTTCCTGTTCAGTGTGTTGGTGTAGTCCAGGTCCCTGTGGAAGTGTAACATACCTACTTTGTATGTTTTTTGGGGACGGTAAACCTACCTTTTCAGTGTGTTGGTGTAGGCCAGGTCCCTGTGGAAGAGTAACATACCTCCTTTGTATGTTTGTTGGGGACAGTAAACCTTCCTGTTCAGTGTGTTGGTGTAGTCCAGGTCCCTGTGGAAGTGTAACATTCCTTCTTTGTATGTTTGTTGGGGACGGGAAACCTTCCTGTTCAGTGTGTTGGTGTACGCCAGGTCCCTGTGGAAGGGTAACATCCCTCCTTTGTATGTTTGTTGGGGCCGGTAAACCTACCTGTTCAGTGGGTTGGTATAGGCCAGGTCCCTGGGGAAGGGTTACATACCTACTTTGTATGTTTGATGGGGACGGTAACCCTACCTGTTCAGTGTGTTGGAGTAGGCCAGGTCCCTGTGGAAGTGTAACATTCCTTCTTTGTATGTTTGTTGGGGACAGTAAACCTACCTGTTCAGCGTGTTGGTGTAGGCCAGGTCCCTGTGGACGGGTAACATACCTACTTTGTATGTTTGTTGGGGACGGTAAACTTACCTGTTCAGTGTGTTGGTATAGGCCAGGTGCCTGTGGAAGTGTAACATACCTCCTTTGTATGTTTGTTTGTGACAGTAAACCTACCTGTTCAGTGTGTTTGTATCGGCCAGGTCCCTGTGGAAGGGTAACATCCCTCCTTTGTATGTTTGTTGGGGACGGGAAACCTACCTGTTCAGTGTGTTTGTATCGGCCAGGTCCCTGTGGAAGGGTAACATCCCTCCTTTGTATGTTTGTTGGGGCCGGTAAACCTACCTGTTCAGTGTGTTGGTATAGGCCAGGTCCCTGTGGAAGTGTAACATACCTCCTTTGTATGTTTGATGGGGACGGTAAACCTACCTGCTGGGAGTGTTAGGATTAGCTGGATCCCAGGCACTAGCCCCAGGTGTCATACTGCCCGGCTCGTGTAGAGGGGTTCGACTTCCTGGTGTGGCATAGTGGGGAGTACGACTGCCGTCATGAAGTGGCGTTTGAGAACCATACATTGGTGTGCGTGATCCGTACATTGGTGTTTGTCCACCCATGTATGTTGGTGTCTTTCCGTATGATGAGGACCTTCCACTGGGCTTTCCACCACTATAAACAAGTAAGTATCAGAATAAGTTAAGTGAGAGATAGCAATCAGGCAAGCATCCTTTTCAAACAAACACTTCAGTGTTGACCCATTCCTTATTTTATTTCAACCTTACTGATTGTTCAAATAATGAGGACTATTAAAAAATAAATACACAGGAGGAAGCTCTTTTTATTGTGACGCACACAAACCAAAAACACCTTTTCTTCCTGGGGCCTCACTATACAAATGTTTGATTAAGATAAGTTTATATAACTATTTTCATAGCTCAGCTGTTGTAAAATAAATATTTTTTATATTTTTTTTTTACATTTTTAAAAACTATTTTACTCCCCATCTTCCACATCTAACCAATTAACCAAGTTATACCCCCTCCCGTGTATCCATATCTGAAATTGCCTTAATTAGGTTGAACATATTTTCTTATTTCTATGTTACCTAGGTATTTTATGCATATTTCACGTGAGCTTTTCCTACTATAAAATGTATATGAGGTACTTTTTGCGACCACCTTATCACAAAAATTTAAACCTATTGTCAAACCTATGCACACCTCATATGTACACGCATCTTCATACATACCCTCACACATACACACATCCTCACACATACACACATCCTCACACATACACACATCCTCACACACAACTTTACATACGTGAGTGTTGTGAGTCGGGTCTTGTCTACTGAGATTGTTTTACAGCTGGAATGTAGCTCAACACGTGCCGTCGAATCTGTTGCGTCCTTCACGATACCAATATATCCTGCAACACGAAATATAAAAAAAATCTCAATAGAAATAGGATCTAAACAGAGAAAGGGCACAGATTGCACACATTAAGTTTACATAGACATTTATAAGGTGGTTGTAACGTTGGTAGTCTGGCTAATTAAGGTACCTAGAATAACACTGGTTCAGTGTACAAAGTAATTTATAAAGTGGTTGTGGGCAGACTGGTTAACATAAGTACCTAGAATACAACAGTTCAGACAAAAAGACACCACAATACAAAAGAGCAGCATGTCAAGGAGATATATCATTTTATTCATTTCAAGCCAATATCTGTCCATTTATGGTTAGTTCTATGTTATGTGCTATGAACTTAACGTCATGTTCAGGTTATATCTATGAATACTTTGCTAACTCCTCTAGTACATTGTGCAAAGGTTCTGAGGCCCCGTTTTAAATTTTGGCTTAACCCTTTAGCATTACTATCGGTAACATCCAGCAGCCCTTAGCACTTTGCTGTTCTCTAAAATCCATCAGACTCGCCCTGCTAACTTGCAGGAAGTGGTTAACTTATCTAAGCTCGTTTAACTCCCATTGAAATATTGTGGCAATACTTTCAGTTCTCAAGAAACATGGGCGCCATGTTTTTCAATCTATTTGACAAGTTTATCGGCCGAAAAAGACCTGAAAACATAGCAGGTGTACACAAAATGTCGGACAGTGACAGCGAGAACGCTTCTGATTTTGAAGGCTTTGATGTCAATAACGCTGATTTAAAAGCACTTCAGAAATGTCAGATAACAAATAAAACATCTGAAGAAGAGGTGTTTTCCCTTTATCCCAAGGTAATAGCCTTGTTATGATAATGGGTAATATCAAATGCATTCCTTCCTGTAGTGTCAATATTGATTTTTAGGGTTACATACTTTTTACAAGTTTCTTTCTACAGAAAAATGCTGTTCTGCTAATATCACATTAGATAGCACACCTTTATATCACTTTTCCTTCTGACAAATGACATGATATCAAGAGGAATACACTTACAAACACACTACGAATTGTCTCACAAAACAGCAACAGTTCAACAAACCTTTGAAAGGACCCTGAACAATCCTGACAGTTTGACCAATAAGTTCACGGTCCCGACGACTGAAAGCTCCACCCCCTCCCCCTCGCCCTCGTCCAGGGGTACCACTGCCTGGTGTTCCACCACCTCCGCTGGCTGGATGGGCTGGGCTCGACAGCCGTGGAGACATAAAGCCAGCCACACCAATACTTGTTGTAGTTTGCTGCAATGCAAGGGTGGTTGTGAGGCACACAAGCAAACGTTGCTTATGGTATACACTTTTCTCTACCTTTTCGAGGATATTCAATTTGGAATTATTTTTGGAAAATGGGTAGCTTATCAAAGCATCTAAATATTTATTTTGTCAAGAATTTATGATTTTTTTTAGAAATTCAGGAAATGAAATTTTATCCAAAAAAACAACAAGTTCTTGTTATTATTTTAAATTGAAGGGAGGCTGCTCTCTGTGACCTTACCTTGGACGCCCCTCCTGCTAATACCAAATGTCTGGTTCGACACACAAAATAGCCACCATTCTCTGTCATCATTCTTGACATAAGGAAGCCGTAACTTCTATATAAGTGCATTATCTCCCCTTGGCGACCCTGCAGATACAAAAACAGAGTGTGATATATCAAGCATCTACTCTTTCAAAACTACACATAATTTTAAGAAACGTCGCAAAGCTTTATTTAGTAAAGGAGTTTTTCGTGGAATTTAAATATTTACTTGTACATGTATCTAAAACAACAGGCCCAGAGGGCCTGTATCGCTCACCTGAATGTGTTTAAAATAGTTGGTATGAAGTAAAGATATAGCACTCCATGGTAGGTGCTGTAAGTACATATGAAATTTCAGAAAGATCCATCCAGTCTTTGAGATATAGCAAGAACAATCTTTAAACAGAGCCCCTTCCCTAAATATGGATAAAATCCCTTAATCCTGATGGTCGAAGGATTTTAAAAGTTTTACCTCTATTTCCCCCTATTTGGCCCCGCCCCTCTGGTGCCGGGGGG